ATACGGATACAAGTGTAAAATGTCCATCAACAATTTGGAAGTTTGAAGAAGATAGTGATGCAATATGGGCGTCTACAATGGAATAGCCACTTGGTGAAAAAGTCTGCTAATTATGTAAACAGGTAGAAAGAGGGTTATCATGGGATCTAGCAATCATATTTCTAAATATATACTAAAGGAACAGAACACAAATGCCTATAAAGAAAATTCTATTCATATGAACATGTGCTATGTGCAGTGATGTAAGAAACATGTATCATTTAACTTTATAAATTTTCCAGGATAAAAGGATACACAGAAATGAAATAGAAAATAAAAGATTTGTCTTTCACAGACATTGGTAGTGAATTAAAGTTGAAGAATGAGATTTGACTACAAATGGATCTAAAATATACTGATTGGTGGTGGCAAACACTGAAATTATAAAATGATGATAGCCATACAAATCAAACTTACAAATGTTCTAAATAAACTAAAATGGCAAATTATACAATAAAAATTATGTATCAACCAAGCTGATAGTTTCGAGCTCACACAAAGCAGAACATCATATTAATAGATTAAGTTTTTATAAGTATGACATCTATGTATGAAGAAAAGATATGTAGGGGCTGGAGAGATGGCTCAGCAGTTAAGAACACTGGCTGCTCTTGCAGGAGACTTGGGTTCGAATCCAAGCATTCACATGGCAGCTAACAACTGTCCATAACTCCAGTTCCAGGGGATCCGACAAACTCTTCTGCTCTCCTCAGGCACTTCATGACACAGGTACATTTACACACATGCAGGCATAACACTCACACACAAAAAATAAAAATTAACAAAAAAAGAAAAGACGTAATAAAATTCAACCTGTTTACATAAACTAACAAAAAAGAATAAGACAAATTTACTTCACAATAATAAAATCCATGAATAAGCTAGTTATAGAAGATGGAATCAGGCTGAGACTACAGTAAAGGACCAGAGCACTTGCCGAACATCTGTGAGGCCCTAAGTCTAATTAATTCCAATTCCCAACACTGAAGAAAAAACAAATAAAAAAAATCACAGTCTATCTTAATCCATGCTAAAGAATTGAAACTCTTCTTAGATGAAAACAAAACAAAACAAAATAAACAAATCAGTGAAGAAATAACAACTTTAGCCATTTATATTCAAAATAGTGCATCAAGAATTAGCAGGTACAAGGAGGTAGTGAAGGAAATGCTGGCCAATCAAGTCGGAATGCATACAGGTGCACACTCAAACAGAAAGGATGCTGAGGCCAGTTTTTCTGATGCATATAAGTTTAAAAAAATCTCAGTAAAAGTTTTCAAGGGACTGAGGAGATAGCTCAGTGGTTAAAAGCACTGGCTGCTCTTGCTAAGGACATGGGTTCAATTCCCAGTACCCGCATGGAGGTAACAACAACCATCTGTAACTCCAGTTCCAGGAAATCCAAGACCTTCTTCTGACCTCCACTGGCATTGCACGACATGGATGTACTTACATACATGCAGTCCAGCTACAGGGAGACCCTGTCTCAAACAAAAATGTTACCTTAGTGTATTATGAATACAAATAAAATATATGCAAATTGTATAGACTTCCATCAATATAATAAGACTTTGGAGAATGTGACTGCACACACTGCTCCCTTACCTTTCTGATGCTAATGAAATCAGTTTCTGGCTTTTCTTTATAATTTAATCACCTAAATAACTACTGATTACCATTTGCCTTTGGCTCACAGATACAAAAGAAAGTGGAAAGGGCAGAACCTGACCCTGGAATAGTGCCATCATGTCTAAAACTGTCCTGATCCTAATCTTGCAAGGAAAAACTGGCAAATGTGTGTTCCAAAGACAATAGAACAGCAGTGATTTCTGGCTCCTTGGGCTGATCAAATTGCTTTGAAATGCCGCTAAGGTAGGGAGGAGAATATTAGACAAAAATGACACATTATATACCAGAGACCAAAGTGATAGGAGCCTTAAAGAGTAGGAAAGGCTTCTATTTAAAACCAGAGAGGAGCTCTGTTGAGAGTGAGACTCACTTATGGGTATAACAACAAGTCATTAAGAGTTAGTTTAATGCTATACCTGTGTAGCAAAGTGCTAGTAGTAGGTTCTCCTCTGGCCTGTGACCTGTCTATCCACAGGTTCTTGGCCCTAATAATAGTGTTAGATAAGCAGTCTATTTTGTGAATCAGGCCTTAAATTCAATCAAAATGTGGTTGGTTACTCCCATATTTTCATGACACTCTTGCACCAGTGGGCATATTTGCCAAGCCAGTTGTTATAGTTTGCAAGGCTCATAGTTGGATAGAGTTGAGGGTTATCTTTCTCTGCCAATAACATACATAGACACCTTCTAGTATTATGGGGGCTAGTCAGAATAGATGAAGCTTTGAGGTCAGTGCCAGCTTGATTTCTCATTGTTCTGCTCTTCTTGCAGCAGATGGTGATTAACACAGAGACACAACTGATCAATATCCAGAGAATACATAAATAAATTGGGCACCTATATCACACTCTCTCTTACAATGCTCAGGGATCATTGTGGAAGACAGGACAGAAAGATTGCAGGAGTCAGAGATGGCAGATGAATGAAAAGAAAGTGTGTTGTCTGACACCCCAGGGTAGTCGTACGTATGAAAGCTCAGTGTTTGTAAAAAGTCAAGTGAGACAAAACCCAAGCAGGACTGGGCAAGTTTTCCAAAGAAGCCCAATCCTAGCAGAAGATCAATTGACCACTGAGAAGAAAAGTCAGTTTTCTTCACTTATGTGACAGCTTGTAGTTTGACCAAACTCCGAGGAATAGCCCCACAACCAAGAGCTTTTTGGAAATACCAATTAGATTCAACAGGCCTTTACAAAAAACTAATGCATACCTTAACTTACACCAATAAAGCTTCCTTATACAACAGAGTGTGATGCACATAGAAGAAAACAACTGGTCAAGTTTTAGAGAATAAGAGACTGTAGCATATAGAATAGGACTCCTCTATGGAACGGCACCTACCCACAGCTCAGAGACCATTGTGGAAGGGTGGATAGAAAGATTGTAAGTGCCAGGGCTCTGGATGGAGAGATGGTTATTCGACCTGGGTTCAAATCCCAGCACCCACATGACAGCTAACAACTGTCTGTAACTCCAGTCCCAGATGATCCAATAGCCTCTTCTGACCTCCGCGGGCATTGGATGACATGGGTGCACTTACCTACATGCAGGCAATATATACATAGACACAAAATTTTAAAAATTTTTAAAAAGCCAGGGCTGATTCATGAGCACAGGGAAGCAGAGGCTTTCAGGACATGTGAATTGTGGCAATGGTGGCAACGAGCACAGGACCCATTTCAGCTCAATTAAAGGGCCAAAAAGGGAGGAGAGAAATAGGTGGCAGGCCAGCACTAGACTAAGAACTATTCAAGACTGATTGCTCCTGGATGACGGAGAGTATGAGTTACACAAGATCAATAGATGGGCTTGCTAAACTCCAGTGGATACATTTACAGTGAAGGGCATTTGGGTACAAATTCCTGAATGAATAGGACTTAACATGTTTAACAGAATACATGAGGTATGGTGGGGGGGGCATGAATGGGGAAGAGGATCTAAATTTGATTAAGAAATGTCATGAAGTAACAAAATCTCAATTAAAAAATATAAAAAAATCAATGGTGATGCATGCATGTCAAAAAACAATAAAAGAACTTGAGGTTAAAGAAGGGGGTGTAGAAAAGTGGGGGCATAGGGGAGGGCTCTGAAGATGATCAAAATACAGTATATGAAATTCTCAAATAAATAAAAATATATTAAAAATAAATTTTATAGTAATGAGAACAAGAGAGATAGTTGGAGGGGGACAGCTGCCGTGAAAGATGGGGCAGGGGCAAGAGAAGCCAGAGGGAGAGCAGAGGCAGGGGAGGCAAGTGGAGCCTGTTCAGAGAAAGTCCGTGGTATACCTCCCCCTCCTAAGCCATGCCAAGAACAAAGGAAGTATCAAATTTTTATAAATTTTGGAAGGCTGTCAAAAAAGATTCACATGAAGTGATTTATTTCAATGTAACATCCACACAGACATCTTTTGTTTCTTGACTATCAGGAATCTTTGACCTGAGAGTTAGTCCCATTCTCTCCCGAGAAACTCTTCTCAACTCAAAAGATCCTTAAAAGCCTTCAGGTGCTTTTTATAGATGGAAGTCAGAATCCACTTTGAAATAATTATTTCCTAGGTAGAAGGACATAAATAGTATTCTATTTTCCAACAAGAGAAACCAAATGGGGCTCTTGAACAAATGTTACTACTACTGTCAAATCCCCAAAACCAATTTATATCTCATTAAGAAATCAGATCAGAAAAACCACAAGGTATAAATGCTACCCATATTCTATTTTAGTGAATTAAAACCAATACTGATGGAAGAGTTAATGAAAATGGTGCTAAGCATTAAAAAAATAACTTTTAATGGGTTTTAAAGATCCTGTGTCAATGCATAAACTTTAAATAAGCCTGAGTTTCAATACAGTGATTGTTCAATGAATATATTTATTTATGTAACTGTGCTGTTTTACATTTAAGGTAAGACATTAGAGAAAGAAATGTGTGATGCAGTCTTTACACTTGCAGTAGTCGGGACGTTAATACCTCTATCTAATAGTTACTGACCATTGAAGTACTATTATATCCTTCCCAGTTGAGTAAAGACAGAAGACAGGAAGAATGTTGGAATCACATATCAGTTCAAGCAGCAGACGTAGCTGACGCTCTACACAGACATGTTGGTGGCCTAGCCTCATTTAAAAGATGGAAGCAGCATTTTTTGTACTATAGCCTAAGGATGCAATGACAATGAAAAAATACAGTGAAATAACTAGTGAAAATCAGATACTTTCAAATTTCTGTAGTCGATGAAGACCCTCCTGTGATAAAGAAAGCTATAATCAAAAAGTAACAGATACAGAGAATCGTCTGCGGTCTAGCTACAAGCACGGATAGGTTCAGGTTCTGATCAAAACGTTCTCCTGCTCAGGGTTTTTCTCAGGGCAACTTTAACATCTTTATTCCTTAAGCTGTAGATTAAAGGGTTCATCATGGGAACCATAATGGTATAAAAGATGGAAGAGATTTTTCCCTCATCCATAGATCCTGCTGATGAGGGTTGAAGATACATAAATGTGCTTGATCCAAAGAACAGAGAAACAGCAAATATATGGGAACTGCAGGTGCTGAAGGCTTTGGACCTACCCTCAGAGGACCTTACTTGGAAGATGCTAGATAGGATGAAACCATAAGAGGTAAAGATGATGGCAGTGGGTACAATGATGTCTTTTCCAGCTACGATGAACAGCTCTATCTCATTGACATGGGTGCTGGTGCAGGAGAGCTGCAGCAAAGGGAGGAGGTCACAAAAATAGTGGTTGATGGTGATTTTATCACAGAAAGTCAGTCTCAGCATGCATCCAGTGTGGATCATAGCACCAGAAAGTCCCATGAAATACGAACCAAGCATAAGATAGGAACACACCTTAGAAGACATGGAAATTTTATACAGGAGTGGATTGCAGATGGCCACGTAGCGATCATAGGCCATTGCTGTCAGCACGTAATATTCAGAAATGGCAAAAAAGCAAAAGAAAAAGAGCTGACTCATACACCCCATGTAGGAAATTAGGTTCTTCCTTACTATAAAGTTCATTAGCATTTTGGGTGTGATCACAGCTGAATAACAGAGGTCTATGCAGGACAAGTTTAAGAGGAAAAAGTACATGGGGGTGTGCAGGTGAGAGTTCAGCACAATGAGAATGATCAAGGACAAATTAGCCAATGTTGTTATCATATATATTGCTAGAAACAGTAAGAAGAGGGGTATTTGGAGTACAGGCTTTTCTGTTATCCCCAAGAGAATAAATTCAGTTACCAGGGAGCCATTAGACAGAGCCATTCTTCTCTAAGAAAACTGTGGAAACAGAAAAAAAGTAAAATTATGCAAAATTCACAACCATCTCTTCTACATTCTTGAGGAATGCAGGAATGCACTGCAGATAAACTGACCCACTTGAACTCAGCGAACCCACCCCTTATGTTACCATGATAAGGAGCAGCATTCTTTTTCCTTTGTTATAGTCTTAGCTGCTAAATGCCATAAAGATAATCAACTTGCTACAAAGAAGAACTCAGTGTTCTCATTCTAATGTGACTGCTAAAGTAATTAAGATAAAATGGTGAAGTGGGATGTACCAGGATATCTTTCTTCTCATATATTGTTATATTAGCCTTATGTGATGCAAGAAAAAGTTACAGTAACCTGGTGTTGCCTTCCATTTGGACTCTCTAAAGTGGAAGCCATTACCATTATTTCTGTCCAAAACAAAAGAACAAAAGTCTAAGATTGGTAAGATTCTGCTAGTTTGTCACTTCTTATGACTTTCTTCTTGAAATTTCAGTGGCATGGATTCTTGGACTTATCTGAACCTTAAGCTACTATGAAAATCTAAACAGCATATTACTTCAGGGGAAATCCTGCATAATCTATAGGTGAGATTTAAAACGATTATATTCACATGAGCAGAGAGAAGGGTACTGATTACCAGTGGCAGAATACCTCAGGTGATGCTTGCCAAGGAGACCAAGGTTTCGTTATGCAGCAAGAATAGGTTCACATGAGCAAACTCAACATGTTAACAAATTAGCAGTGCTAAATTTTATCTCTGAATTTGCTTACAAATTACATCTTATATTTTCTTCTGACTGTATAAAAATCACATTAACATACATATGCAGTAAAAAGACGGGTAGATTAGCTTCTTTGCTGGGTCCTTTCAACAATGTATATTTTGTTCAAAACAGTAAAAATTATACACTACATATATCATTTTACATGTTAGTGGTAACTCAACAAATATGTTGGATAAAAGACAAGACATTAGTATGAAGAGATTTTAAAACTCACTCTACTTAGAAAACTTTGCTAATTCCTTGTCATGACTATTTACTCTTCTTGTCCTAGAAAGCTGATAGCAGGCTGTGAGTCTTTGGTTGATTTGAGTCTATAACGATGCTGTAGAAAGTTATGTTCCCACATTTCCTGGAGGTCTTTCTGAACTATTGCCCAGAGGTTATAACACTACTTCTTAATCCACTAAAACGAAAGATGAAAAAAAAATTCATTTTATCATACTTGCCACTTGTGAAACCCTAGAAGCTTCATATCAGTTTCATTTAAAAAAAAATCAGACTAAGAAAGTCAGAAGCTTTCTTGGGCTTATCCAAAGGAACAGATAGCTGATATTAAAGGGAAAGGAAGTGATGGCTTGTACTTGCTAGACCATAGTGTGTTCTTAATTCCTTAGGGATTCAGCATTTTAATCACACATGCCCTTGTCCTTTGGGTTTCTATAGCTTCAACTCCTGATTCAAAATTGAATTCTTATCTCATAATCACCTTCATCCTCTTTAGGGAGATACATTGGTTGTTTCTATCTCTTTTCTCATATTTTTAATGGTACTACTCTACAGAACTGACACATCAATTTCCTTCTTATTTTGTCAAAAATTGTTCAGAAAATACCATAACACAACTCAAGTATTATCTTCCAAATTGTTTTTAGTTTTTGTATTTTCTTTTTTTGTTTGATACTCTAGAGATGGCTCCAAAGTCCTCATGTACACAATGTTATAGTTCTACCACTACAATACTTTCTGTAACCATCCCAATTTAATTTCCATATGTTGCATCTCTTCTATACTTTTAGCATTGGTTAAAATTACTGTTTAAGTGTTAGAAAATTTTAGTCCTTAAATACAGCACTATAGAAACCTGATCAACATTTCTATACTTGTCATAGAAAGTATGGAAGAAAATGCTCGTTTTTAATTGCCATTCTATAGTTCCTTAATATTATAGTTTGGGCAAGTTATTTGACATCTTCCCCAGTTCTCCTTTTTGAAAATATCCATGGTAAGTGCAGCATGTCTTCTATTGGATCCTTGGGATGATTAATTTTGGAAATTAAAAGAAAATGGATGTTATACCATGAAAATTAGGAAAGGGGAAATTTCATCTGTGAGTACAAAAGCTAGTGAATTTAAGATAGTGTTTTGTCCAGCTTAATTAATCATAATTTGAAAACATACTAACGAGAGCGTATTTAAATTTAGTAAACAGATTTGATTATTGATTTTGAGATTACTGGGCACAGAAGGATGTGCAAGAAATGGGTGAATTGTAGTTTCTCCTCTTGCTTATCCATTATTTTCGAGGATTGATAGTATACTTGTTTTAGGTTTTAGGTAAGGTGAGTTGGGGTATATACTTGGAGCACATTCTTGGGGCAGGAGGAGCAACATATGGTACACTGTCACTCTATCTTGTTATCTTGATTTGTTTTGGTTCCTGTTACCTGAATGCTCCTATATTGGACCTATATATTTTATATTATCTGATTATTGCTTAGGGTTTACATATGTATATCTATGTTATTTCAATATTTAAGAATATTCAGGAACTCTATTAAAAGCTACACAAAGTCAGGTGGATTGTCATAGTCCTATAGTACCAACACTCGAGGCTAAGTCAAGTGGATTTTGAGTTCTCAGCCTCTTGTGAAACTTCCAGTCAATCCTGGGTTATGTAGTGATAATGCAAAAAGAGGAAATAAGATAAAAATAAGTTTAAAAATCAGATACAATAGCATCAAATGACATTCACCTTACTGCACTAGAGTAAGAATTTTTCTTTTGGACTTTGTGAACCACAAAACTCCATTGTTGAACACTGAAGTTACGTATTAGTCAAAAAGTGAATGAATAAGGGGAATTCAAAATAAATGTTATTTGTATGGACTGAGAGTGCAACTCAGCACTGTTTGTCTTTTCAGGAATACAAGAATACTGAGACTCTAAGTTGCTGAGTCAAACAAAATAGTGAAAGAAGGATGGCTGGCGCAGCATAGGTCATTGGTGCAGTAGTGGCACTCTTATCTTGGGGGAAATCAACAGCTACCTAATTTGACTGAATGCCCACTCGAAGGAAGGAAACCCAAGTATGGTAATACAAACATAAAATAATACAAATGACTGAGTGGCCATAGATCTTAGAGAAAATCCCAAGACTGTCACATCTCAAGACTAATGTGATTTCCTACTATGTGCAAAATATGTATCATTATATTTACAGACAAATATCCTAGTCACCACTCATCAAAGATGCTCATTTTGCACCAGTCAGAGACTATTACCAAGTATCACAAGTGGTCACACACAGATATACTCTATGGATTGGCCAGGCCTTTTAGCAAGTGATACATCTACAAAGAAACCGGTACACCTAAGGCTCATGGAACATAAAACAGGGATAATGAAGAGGATAGTAATGAATCTCTCAGTTCTCAATAACAAAGCTCCCTCATGCAGCGGAAGGCTAAGAGCATAAAAGGTCACAAATAACCAAAGTGTAGAGATCAACAAGAGTCTCCTGAATGATGATCCTTGGTGTGTCCCAGGGACCTGCTGCGGAAAATTGACTGCAGAGAGTTAGCCACAGAGGGGAGGGGCTTCTGAGTGCGATCTTGTGATGGAAGCCAGGATCACGTGGGGTGGCAGGCATGAAGAGGAAGACACTGCGGCATCTCACCCAGGTGGATGAAAGAGGGGTCATTTACCTACCTGGGGTGAGACTGCAGGCCCAAGATCCTTGGGCAAAAGTTAACAGAGACTGTGGGCAGGCGAGGAAGCGATCTGGAACAGCAGGCCGAGACACACAGAGCTGGGTGCTAGGTGCCTGGCATTTGTTTCTTTGTAAGAGTCTCTATTCCCCCCAAGATATAAAATGAAAAATTCAGATAAAAATGTTATGTGGTTTGTCCAATAGTGCCCTGAGCAAGAGACCCTGAAAAACAGAGAGTGGGAAAGTAAAAATTTAGTTGGACACAACTGACACAATCCTGAAGGAGGAAGGTGCTAAGAATGACAAACCATGGAAGTTGAGAAAAAGCTAGAGAGCTGATGGTGGCACTGAGGTGGTTTTTATAATAGATTATAAAATATGTAACTAAAAAGGGGCTGGCCATGCAGAAGCATGGGCCACAGCTGTGTTGTAAATGTGGGGGTATGTTGCGGGTTTGTGAAGATTTGTTAATAAAGGTTGTCTGGAGGATAGAAAATCTTTTATTGGCTCTGGACACAAAGGGAGATCCCAGAGAAGGGGCATGGTCACTTTGCATAATAAAAGATGTGAGCCAGCAGGGGAAGCTGAAAAGGCTAGGGAGGTCCTGGCAGATCCAGTTGCAGAGCTTGAGAGAAAGGAAAAAAAAAAGGACACTTTAACTTGGGTAAGGTCCAAGGACTCTCAGGAAAAAACAAATAATAGTGAAAAATAATATGATTTAAAAATAAAAGTAGCTAAAGCTGCCCTTCAGAGTCAACTGTTGATATAAAATGGAAAAAAAGCTAACACTGCTGTTGCTAGGAAATACTCCATGCTGGAACTGTTAAAACTAGGAAAAACTTACAATCAAGCAACCAGAGAACTGCTAGCCACATGGCTTCTGAGAGTATGGGTCATAGGAGAAACTGAAGTCAGTCTAAGTCCTGCAGAAGCTTCAGAGCTGAGTTATATAACCACCCATCCTTACGATATAGGCTATTCAACCTAGGCCAATGCAGGGGGGAGCAGTCAAAATTCCCAGAGAAAAAAATGATAGAAAGCCAAATTCTGTACTAAGGCATTTCTGGAAGGTTTAAAACCAGAAGAACAGTTTTAAAAAGACATTCAAAGGATAAAAAGTCTACCAGGGGTGGTTAAGAATCCCCAAGGATTAAGTAAGATGCATTTATCTTCTGATTAAGGCTATACTAGGGGTGGAAGCAGGTTTTCCAACCAAGTTCTCCTCCAGCAACCAGGTGTGTTCAATGGGGAGATGATAGATATGGCTATAGTCAGGAGGCAGACCCAGGGCCTGTCTGACTTGG